TGGCAGATCAAACACTTGGACACATACACAACTATGTCCTTCTTCATTCCTGGCCACCAGAAATTCCTTTTCAAGTCTTGGTACATCTTTGTAGCACCAGGGTGAACAGTAAACTGTCCCTTATGGGCCTCCGCCATAACCTCTTCGGTCAAAGGACCTCGAGGAATCACAACACGCTTCTGAAACAACAGAAGTCCATTCTCATTCCAAGGCACACCGTCTTGGTTCTTCACGTAGTCCAGGCATTCTCTCTGCACTTGTGCCTATTGGATCTTCTCCATGAGCTCATTCATGACTCTCACAGTCTCCATCTCGAGAAGTGCACCCCCAACAAGGAGGTCACCGACAAAACTCGAAGTTTCACTATGACATCAAAAATGTCATTCAATTCTCTGGGATCACCAGTCACTCTCTCAAAAGAGGTGACCTAACCCCACAGCTCAAAAATTCACACAAAACTCGAGTGAGTTTGGTCGTATTCCATGACTCTAACATCGACTAGTCTTACAATTTGATAAATCATTATTTTCAAAGTAACTTCATATTCATGTTCATTGTACGAAAGCATAATCATGTTCATTTTAACCAACACATGTCATTTAGCATATTCATTCGCATAATAACGTACCTTAGTTCACGTACACCTGCAAAATTTTCAATCTTAGTAACATAATAGTTCGAATACTATAAACACAATATACCTCAATCTCCATGGCATCTGCAAAATCGAAACTCAATGAAAAGTGAAATGATATTGATACATTACAACAATCTATCGTACTCATTTCATGCTTAACACTACCCATGGTGTTAACATGCCAACTACTTATGAAGCATATCAATAATGAACATAAGAACCTAGAGTCATGGAGACCACTCAACCCTCAAGCTAATTGTACATGCACTGCCTAGTATATACAAGAACGCGCGTGGCCTTGCCACAAATTCCAAGTGTTACGCACTTAGTTTCCTAAAGAGAATTTCACATCCTCCAACAGAGCACCATCACGCTTAGTAATGGCGTAAGGCATCTTGCCTCAAAACAACATGACCGGTGCTTCCCATGGAGACATGCTCGGCCGGAAGAAGTCTTTCGTCGAAAGACCCTCAGAACGCTACTTCAACTCAGCCAACCCTGGTGGCGGCATCCGGTCTGGAGCTAATAACAAGGCCCCACACCAGACAACAATTCAATGGAGAATGTTATCTCCCACTGTGGCGGACACTCAGGAATCTCCTCAGGAAGCACCTCGAGGAATTCCTTCACCACAGGAACGCCAGTGAGATCCTCTTGTGTCCCATTCACCAAACCTCCCAACATGACATAATCAATGTCCCTGCTCACAAGGCCCTCCTAGCCCGTAGCAATAAAAGGCGAGGAACTGGCTGTGGAATCACACGGAGACATCACCACTCGCTAGGCACAGCAATCGATCAATCAATCAACTATTGGACAATCCATCCACGCCAAGGATGATTTCCAAATTAGCCATCGGCAACTCTATCAGATCTACCGAGAAGTCATGGCCCTCCCACTGAAACACGACATCTCGATGTACAGTGGTAGCATCACACTTTTCTCCGGTGGCGGTAGTCACCCGCAACGGTGGAGAAAACACAAACATGGGCAACTTAAGCCCCAAAGCAATCGGGGTCGCAACAAACGAATGCGTAGCCACGGAATCAAACAATACATCAACAGATGAATCACCAAAAGACACAGTACCTCTAACAAGGTTCGGAGCGCGGTCCGACTGCTGCTTATCCAAGGTGTACACACGCCCAACAGAAGGTGGCACCACAGATGCCGAAGTAGAAGCCATCGGAACCATCTGCAAAGGAACTGCCTGAACAGCTGCAGCTCTCATTGTCAACGACGGACAATCTCTAGAAAAGTGGCCCTCCTGGCCACAGCGAAAGCAGATCAATTGACCGTTAGCACAACGTCCTACATGCTCCTTTCCGCACCCCGCACATCTCGGAGTGGAAGGAGGCCTAGCAAAGCTCCCCTGCTGTGAAGCAGTCCTCTTGAATTGACCAGGCGCCTGCCTAGTCGCCAACTGTTTACCTTTGCCCTTCCCAACAAACTTCCCGTCCTTCCAGGAAGTAGGAGCAGGAGTGGAACTAACAGTCCCCTTGGTCTCATCGACCTTGGCCCTCTTGGCCTTGCTCGCAATGCAGACATCCTCAATGTCCTTACACTGCTGAACCAGTGTACCAAAATCCCTGGTGTAAGAACCTGAGCGCTGACGAGGGCGGGCAGTGATCGCCGGTGAGAAAGGGCATGGACAAGAAGCGGCTCTGACAGGCTTCCAGCGGGGGGTTACATGCATGAATGAATCGAATCGACACCCGAAAGAAAGAGATTTCAAAAACTGTGTAGGTATGAGACTGCACAGTTTGGGATAGCTTATAAGAATTAATTGGTACTACCTATACTAACAAGATGCATCTGCTTTTCGGTAGCCCGGATCGGAAGAGCTCCACAGTTAAGCGTGCTTGACTTGGGGCAATTCTGGGATGGGTGACCTCTTGGGAAGTTTTCTCGGGAAGTGTGCGAGTGAGGAAAAAACACACTGAAAAGTCTCGTGTTAGTATGTGGGGATAGTCATTGATTCTTGAAGCGGTCGGGCGTTACAAGTGGTATCAGAGCGGGGCCTTTCATCCAGTACGATGAGGTTCGAGGACGAACCAGGCGGAAGCTGGTGGGCATCTAACATCCCGAGCGCTGACGAGGACGGGGAGTGATCGCCGGTGCGAAAGGGCATGGACAAGGAGCGGCTCTGACAGGCTTCCAGCGGGTGGTTACATGCATGAATGAATCGAATCGACACCCGAAAGAAAGAGATTTCAAAAACTGTGTAGGTATGAGACTGCACAGTTTGAGATAGCTTATAAGAATTAATTGGTACTACCTATACTAACAAGATGCATCTGCTTTTCGGTAGCCCGGATCTGAAGAACTCTACAGTTAAGCGTGCTTGACTTGGAGCAATTCTGGGATGGGTGACCTCCTGGGAAGTTTTCCCGGGAAGTGTGCGAGTGAGGAAAAAACACACTGAAAAGTCTCGTGTTAGTATGTGGGGATAGTCATTGATTCTTGAAGCGGCCGGGTGTTACAATATACTTAGTTTGTAAATTGAAGAAATCAATATATGGCTTAAACTAGTTTTCTAGGGAATGGTGATTTGATAAGATCATTACTTTGATTAGCTTTGCGAAAAATAAGATAAATCATTATATTTAGCTCAAAATATTTGAGAGTAAATTTATTATTCTTGTTCTTTACCTAGATGGCATCTTATTTGCTAGTGATAGATACTATACACTTCTTGATATCAGTATGTTGCAAGCTTCTTTTGCATAATTTGGGATTGATCCCAAAAGGCTTATATTAAAATGATCCAATATGAGAAATTATAAACATAGTGATGTTACTATTGTTAAAGGGAATAAATGATGTTACTATTGTTAAAGGAAATAAATTAAATGATGTTACTATTGTTAAAGGAAATAAATTATACGAGTGTCATTTTCCTAATAATAAAAGAGCTCCATGAGAAATGTTTCATTGTGTGAGTGTAGTGTAGGGGTGGCAATTCAAGTTGGCTAGTCATATTTCGTTCAACACAAATTTAACATGAACAAAAATCCTCTCGGGCATAACACGATATAAATAGTAATTCGTGTCAAAACCCTAAACACCAACATAACTTATTTATTATATGGGTTGCATGATATAGCACGAATAAACTGTCAATTTTACTTTCGAATAAAAATTAAATAAATAACATCTAATTAATAAATAAAATTAGGTATAAGTGGAAGTGTATATGTAATTACATAACTTGTTTAATTTAAATGGCTCAATTATAAATATGACACGATTTATTTTGTGTTGGTTTTTGGTTAATAAGAAAATGACACCTATACATTAACCAGCAATTTATGTTATAGTTAAGGCCTATTAGCGTGCTGGGGTGAAAATTACAGTACTCATATACACCGGAGCTGATTTGTCTTTTATTCTTAGGGTTTAATATTTTTGCTTTGTTGCATAAATTGTTCTTTTGCTACACTCACATAAAAGTGAGTAAGTCCCATTGTATATAAAGAATAGAAAAAAAATTAGTGAAACCTACTTACTTTTATATGAGCGTGGCATTTTTTCTTCTTCATTTTCCCCTTATTATTAATGTAGTAGAGGAACCCAAATCCAACCTCTATCATATTTGTATTCAAACCAATGTTATAAAAATCAGACCAACACGGTCTGGTCGACCCAAAAATCGATGTACCGATCTTATAACTGGTCCGGTTTTCTAATTGGACCGGCCATGTAATGGAATCGATGCAACGCGATGCGACTTGGTCGATTTTTCTAAAAGCCGATGACCTAGCCCGATTCATAATTAAAAAAAACTAGTTTGTTCTCTTCAATTGATGCTTTTGTTTACTCTCACACATAAATGATTTATTTTTTTTAAAATATTTGAGTAATGTGTTGTTTATTGAGTTACATAAGTTATGTACCTACAACATTAATTATTATCTTAGTTATGCAATATGCAACGAATTTTGATTTGATTTATTGTTGGAGATGTCGTCTACTGAATCTGAAGCACCAATATCACAAATATTATATATTATTTTTTATATTAAAATATTTGAAATTAATATCATTTTCTTCCAAGTATTTGAGTATATTTAAATTTTTTATATAAATCATAAATTTATATATATTTACCGAATTATTCGATTAAACTAATTATTCATTGATTAAACGAGTAATTACCATGTCAATAGCCAAGCCGAATTTAATAATATTGACTCAAATTATATTTTCCGTAATATAAAAAAAAATTATATTTTCCGTAAACAAACACTCTATTATGTTAGTACGAAGTTGACAAAAGTAGTTACGTGACAATAGAAAGTTTGTTCCATGGGCCTGAAATGAAGGGGCGACGCGCACGATGAGCGCGTGCGGGAAGTTGACAGGGTTGCCCTAAGCGAGGGCATGACGGAAGCAAGAACTTGATCTCGTTCTTATCCATCCACTGGAATGTAAAGCAGCACCATGTCCCTTCTTTCATAAATATACAAACATCAACCATGTTCATGTTCTTGTCCATGTCCATGTCCTCGCTCATCTTTATTCATCTCGGATCTTCAATCAGTTGACTCAATCGGTGAGTTCTCTCTCTTTCTCGCTCGCTCTCTTCTCAGATCTGCTATAACTAATTGCCTTCTATTCCCCTCATTCGTTGGTTTTCAGTTCAAAAGGATGGAGCCCATGGACATCGTGGGGAAAACAAAGGAAGACGCTTCGCTTCCTAAAGGTTACTCATTATTATTATTATTATCGGTGAATTTGATTGCTTGTCCGTTATGATTGAACTCTCTTTTCAACCCTCCGTGAATTTCTTTTAATTTCTACATTCTTTTTATGAATCGGCAACGAGGTTTTTTGTCATTTTTTTTTTTTTTTGAGTTTTTCAGATGCATTTTTATGTTTTTTTTTCTAGAATATTATTTTATTTTTATTTTTATTTTTATTTTTTTTTAAAAAAAGAAAAAGTGTAACGGGGGAGTGAAATAAAGAAAATGGCTCACGGTCACTGTTATTCTACTGCGTGGATTTTGAATTGAGAAAATGTTGCGAAATATGGTTTGCTAGTGGTATGGTTTCTTGTTTAATTGGTTTTGATGGCGTTATACTGAAACCAAATACTTGATGATGATTTCTTGCCAGCAACAATGACGAAAATTATTAAAGAGATGTTGCCCCCTGACGTGCGTGTTGCAAGAGACGCTCAGGATTTGTTGATTGAGTGTTGTGTAGGTAAGGATTTTGAAACCTTTTGTGATTTTCATTGCCAATTTCTTTTGTTTGATTTATTGCTTGACTACTTTCTTTTAGTTCAAATGCTTTTTTATGTTCCTCATTTCATTTTCTTTTGCCTTTTTCTCTCCTTAAGTTTAATGGTCGCTTAACCTTGGTTTGTTTGGCTGCCTTTTGCATGAATCAATATTTTTTTGTCTCCTGTGCTAAATGGTACCTATATCTAATATCTCAGTGGCACAGGAATGGATGAGCACACTATTCTGTTATTTCTGACGATAGTCAAGATTTTGTTATGGATTATAATTATATGATATTCATCATATTTGTTTACCTTTTCTCTTAGGCTTCTTAATATGTTAATAACAAACTAGTCTAGGTTAAAATAAGACAAAGGATGACCCAACTAGATCTTATCATCTTGCCTGTAAATGGCACAGATGTAAAGTTAAATAATATCTTCTGCGGTAAACACTTTTTTAAATCATATTTTATTTTTATATCTAAGTTTGTGATGATCACATTGTTTGCTTGTATATTTCTCTATAGTATGGGCATGCAAAATATGCGTTGCATTGGAATTAATTCTTTTGGCTGATTCCTGCTTTATATTCGGAGTTTGCTCTTCTAACTTAATAAGACTTTGTTGGTTGATCTATATCATTGTAGAGTTTATAAACCTTGTGTCATCAGAGTCCAATGAAGTCTGTAGCAGAGAGGAAAGAAGGACGATTGCACCTGAGCACGTATTGAAGGCTTTAGGGGTATTTCATCAAATGATCAAACGATTGTATCACTAAAGTTTTCATGTAGATTCTTTCCAGTTTGTTTTAAATTGTTTATGTTGCCTCTCCTTTGAAGTGTTGCATTTCATTTTTTATTTTGTATTTTCATTGTGTTATATGCATGAATATGTATCTTTGTGACTGTCAAGTGACTTTTATTCTCGATTTTTCTTTGAGTTGTAGTTTGATTGACAACTCTAGCACAGTTGCAGATTATAATAGCGTGATTTGGTTCCCCTTACCATATAATATGTCTAAGTCCCATGAACATATGGGTAATATAATTTATTTTCATAGTATTTGCAATTTTAGATGGTTGGTGTGTAGCTGTTGGAGGCAGCACATGGTTATACATTTTTATAGATGCTGTATAGATTTACAATGTATGTAGCACCATGCAATTTTATCTTTGCATGGTGGTACGTTTGGCAATCTTGCCAGTTGAAAACCGGTTTTTGCATACAAACCGGTATGAAACCGGTCCTGTTTTTCTGGTTGAACTGGTTTTTGAAATTTTATTTAAAATGTTTAAATTGTTGTGCACTGCTGGGGGATCAAACTTGATACCTGATGTTGGAGACCTGCCACATTTATGATTTACAACTAAGCCAATGTTATTTTGCTGGTCATAGTGCATTCATTGTTATATTTATTAGATACTCTTACTATATAAATTTAGTTTAATTGGTTCAACTAGTGACCTGTTGACCAGTACGCTGATCGAGTCAATAACCAAGTTTAATAGCACCAGTTTAAGGAATATGCTTTTACAGGATTTAGATTAATTATTTATTGTAACAATCCCATCTTTCCTATCTTTATGTGTAAGAAGGTATTTTTGCATAATAATCAAAATTGAAACAATAGTGAATGCATTCCATAATCTTATCTGCACTGAGACTTAAATACTGCTTTCTATATTGTGAAATGAAATTCTCTTAGAATTACCTCATTTGACTGTCCTCTGTTGCTTTCTCTTTTACCTGTTTGTCCTTGATGTTGTTCTCTGCTTCCCACTTCCCAGACATTGAAATGTGTGAACTCATAGATAGTCAGTCCCTCATCCTGAAGGCAAAGTTGTTGATGGCCTTCTGTTACAACAAACTATGGTTTCTTGCAAACAGTTGATAATTGATTTCGGCTTATGTTTCTTTGTTACTATATATATGTATGATTTTTGTTTTTTTTTTTCTTTTCAAGATTGTGTTTGGAATTGTGTAAATAAAAATTTCAGTTTTCAAATGATTTCTTTTTAATTCCCAAGTTAAAGTCTTCCAAACACAGCATAATTCTGTTTCCTATTGGTATAAGCATTCATGGGAGTGATATTGTCAAGATGGGGGAATTGAATATTTTTAAGCATGCCTTGTATGACATGTATTTATTGATTTGCACATTGTTTTATCAGGTACTTGGATTTGGCGAGTACATTGAGGAAGTTTATGCAGCATATGAACAGCACAAACTGGAGACAGTGGTAACTGTTTAATGTTAATGGTACATGTGCATGTTGGATTGCTAGAGTGATATAATACAACTTAACAGAATTGCTTTCTTATAATCATCCTCCATTTGTTTATCGTTGAACAATATTATTATAAAAAGGAGAAATGTGATCGACCTATTCTTTGGCAGAGTTTTTCTAACACATTCTTTACTAAATAATCTGGGTCTACTCTCCATTTAGTGGGACTTACGTGAAATTCACATGATAATAGAGTTGTGTTAGAAGGAGTGTAATGCTAGCATTCCTCTATAAAAAAATCATGAAAATTTTAAGAGCACCAATGGTGAACTTTGTTTTCTTTTTGTGCTTTTATCTGATCATCTTTGAACCATACTAGTGGAAGCTGAATTTCTGTTTTCAAATTGGATGTCTGACTAAGGGTGATCAGTCTTAAGGGAGCACCTGAAGGCCTAATTGATGGTCCTCTACAGAAGCCCCAAGCTGGTCAGGGTTCCCTTCTGACCCTGCTGTTAGCTAATTAGACTGACCCATGAAATGTTAATATGGTATACTCTAGGCATATGCATTGGATAGATCTTAATGGGCTGATAACTTGACTATGTTCTCTACCCCTCTCCTTTACACTGTTTATAGTTTGCTTTTTTAGAGCATGGCCTGTGCTGTTTCACTGTGCCTGTCCAGGTTCCCATATAATTGTAGTGGGACCCACTAAAATGGTATTCTATAGACAAATACACCGAAAGTTTTCAATGGGCCAATAACCTGACTATCATCAGACTATGCTCCGCTCCTCTCCTCTCCTCTCCATTGGGTGTATTAAGTCTGTTGTTTGAGAGCACAGCCTATGCTTTCTTTGGCGGGTGAAATCAAAATCTCCTATGATTTATCAACCTCTAGTAATCTGTGTTATCCTTCTATGCTTTTGGAGTTGTTAGATATTCCATTTAACGTTTAAGTAAATAACTTAGTGTTCTGTGATTTGTGATGTAAGAGTGATGGTTGTGATCCGGCTAAGTGATGGTCCATCTTGATATTGAGTTGATGAATGTCTGGTTTTTTATTTTTTGGGTATAGGTCGGGATTTTATTTTTCCAATACTCGTTGTGGCCATTGAGAGCCATGAGCCCATAGTAAACGGAAGGAAAAAGGAGGGACATGTTTTGTTCAACAGTTAAACTGGAAAAGTGATATTTGAACAAGTTAATTACTATCATTTGTCATTGACTTCGGCAAACTAAAACTATTTTCTGATTGATTTTGTTACCTTTCAACAGGACACTTTAAAAGGTGCCAAGTGGAGCAACAGAGCTGAGATGACTGAGGAAGAAGCATTGGCTGAGCAGCAGAGGATGTTTGCAGAGGCACGTGCTAGAATGAATGGAGAGGCCATTGCTTCCAAGCAGCCAGATGCTGACCAAACTTTAGAGAGCTAACTTTAGGACATTTATTTCCTTGAAGCATAGGCAAGCATCTCTCACTCTTCCCTGTGTGTTTATTTAGCTCGATTTTGCACAAAACCCATTCACTAGCGTGCTGGCCTATGTGGATGTGCTCGCCATTTGTGTTCTTTAGCAATTCATGTTTGTAAGTTAATGTAATTAATGGACTTCGTCTAAACCCTCTTATATTTAGAATTACATGTAAATTATTTCATTTACCTGTTGTATCTTCTACACTAACAGCTCTTGGCTTAATTTTAACAATAGTGACTATATTAGATTGTAACAATCTATAAAAATCCATTATAATTATAATAAGGGATATATTTTTCTTATGTTATAGGAAAAAAACTATCTCATGTTGTAGAAATAAAAGTATAAGTGGGACCCACAGATAAGAGGAGAGAGAAAAAAGAATGGTGGGACCCAACTTTTTTTTTGTGTGTGTAGGAGAGTTGTTTATCTCATGTAAAATAAGATAAACATAACCCTTATAATAATATGTAAAAGCCGTTGTTTTCATATTATAATCTAGGGAAAAACTCTTATGTTGTAGGAGAATGTTTTTCTCTCCTACACATATATTGATTTTCGTGTTACTTTATCTTTTTTTTTTCTTTTTCTATAAGTGGGTGGGTCCCACACATGATTGTCTCTATAGTATGAGAGAACTTATCTCTTATTACATGAGATTAATAAAGTCTTATAATCTATTTTGAATGTCTTTCAGTCTAGTGGCCTAGGAAATTTTCAAACTTGCGTCAGTTATATTTGATTCATGTATTGTTATTGTGAATGAATTTGTAGTAGCAATCTCTAATCTCTGCTATAACTAGTTTGTTGAGAATTTAAACACAACGATGCTCTGTTTAATTCTCGTATATTGATTAATGTGGGAAATCTTAAAGATGCGGTTAAAGGAGGCATATCCCTGCATAACCCATACCCAAATATGGAAAATTTTCCGTAGATGATGTACTGATATCCGTTTCATGTCTTAATGTTTTTCCCTACCCAGTCAACTGAACAATCTTTAGGGTAAACAACCATTTTAATGCATTTTTAAGAAAAATAAATTCTAAATAATTCAATCTTCAAATATACTGTCAATGTATTATAGTAAGTCCTGCATTCGACTCATATGGGACTAGTCCTGCACGCTTCCATGTTGAAATGTCATGTGTCGCATGCAATAGAGCCGAAGGTTTATTTTGAACACAAATCAATTACTATTTAATTATGTATAATTTAATAAGGCAGATCATCTATGCTTCTCACGCAGAACTATTGTAAAATTAACCATGGTCTTAATTATTTTTTTCAAATACATTGCATCTGGAAGTCTCACATGGTTAAAGTGTGAGACTATTTCCGCATGATCAGAATGCAAGACAAGTGCATTAGTTTGGTAATATTGTTCCGAAACTGAATTGATTAGGTAATTAATTTTTTAATCAGCATTTAAAGAGTCAATCACCCAAAAATCTGGTGCTAAGCCCCCCTCGAGGTTTACTTCGATATTAGAGGGTGTTTGGTTGAGGAGAAATTTTTTGAATGCTAGTAAAATGTAATTGATAGGGAAATTGTTAGAAAGTGAGTTAGATAGGAAAATTAAAAAAAAAATTATTTGGTAGGCTGAAATATTGCTGAAAAAATTGAGTTAAGTTTACTGAGTCTATGTTTGGTTAAAAGTAAAATATTGATAGGGAAATAGGTTGAAAATATGAAAATAACTCTTTTATAATTTCATCTCAGTTATAATATCTGTCTTCACTTCTATCCAGGTTCCTACCATGACTGTGAGGATCTTTCAGTTTGGTTCTGAAGAAGAGTATACGGTACCTTGGCGCGTTTTGATTTTTTACTTGCTGCAAAATTGGGGCCTTCAGTTTCTACTACAGATTCAGATACTTCATTGGTCTGAATTTCTGCATTACAATCGTCTTCAACTTCAAATACTTGTTCTGATTCTCCTCTGCCATTATCAGTTACTGATAAACAAACTCAAATCAACAAAGTGGAATATAAGTAGCTGTTACTGCAAAATGTATAGTGTGTTTTCGTTTAGAGAGAATACACGAAGATGAGCATGGAGTGTAATAGAGAGAGAGACTATTTTGGTCAGATAGGGTTAAACAGGGTTGTTTTGGTCAGATACTTTGCGTAACATTTTTCATTTCCCCATCAATTCAAGAACACCACCTTCTGGGTGGTATTGTTTCATGATATTTTCATCTAAAAATTACACAGTTAAAGGAATTCAGGGGAAATGGCTTTCCTAGGAAAATTTTATTAATTGAGGTACCAAACATGAGATTCATAGATGCTCATTTTCACTTTCCCAGCATTCCGAAAATTTGTCTCCTACCAAACACCACCTAGAAAAATTGCGAGACGTATTTTTACCCGGACTTCACAGATAGAAAAAAATATCTTGTCCAGCGAGACGGTCACTCACCGTAATAATTAGTTACTTTTGAAGTATATATATTTAAAACTATTTGTTTTTTTATCTTTCTAATTGGACATATTTTTATTATTTAACATGAGAGTATGCATATTCCTTTTACTCATGATTCCTCTTTAATAAATGAACTCCGATGAGATGATTTTTGGGTTAAATTACAAATTCCTTGTTAACAACATAGTAATAGGATAGAGTACTTTTTGTGGGCCAAAAGCAGAGGTGTCGGTTCGTAGGTAGGTACCTGTAATGTTTTCTCTGCAGCCAACATGAGTCATGAGAATTCAGTGACACTAAACCTGATGTCACCACGGTTAACCTTTGCACTATAAGACATAGATGCTGAAGGGTGCTAAGGGGCATGTCGAGATTCAACAGTGATAGCTTTGGGTTTTGTTTGTTTTGGCTTATTTTTTTATCCTTTTCTACCGTTTTGGTGACTGAGGTCAAAAGGGTTAGTCAAGCACAATCCCTTCTCCATGTCCCACAAGAAAGTGAAATTACAAACACACTGTCTCCTTAGATTCCTTTCTTTTTCTACTTGTAATGCACTCTATATCAGTTTGATTTCCCACATCAAATGGTGGGGACTGCCCTTGTTTCTTTTGTCAGGATTCTCGTGCACTAACTATATACCAGAGGAAAGGGCTGGAAATACAAAGAACCAATTAATTAGATTTAAGGCCTAATATTATATACATCACCAATAATAAAAAAGAAGAATCCAGATTCTATCTCTCTGTCTCTCTTTCTTTCTTTCCCATCTTTTTTTTTTCCGGATAAGCAGCAGCCACCCCTTTGATTTTCTTTCTCATAGGAAGACAGTCATGGCTAGAAGCTCTCAAGACATGTCCTCTAAGAGGCATTTTCACTGGACAAACAAGGTTGGAACTGAAGATGGTGAAATTCCCACTTCAGAATCGTTCTCAACACTCATCCAAGAGGAGAAAAAAGAGGACAACAAGGTTGCTGCTCATGAGGCTCCAGCACATGCAACAAGGAGGAAGCTTCAGGCAGTGACAATCTCAAGGCTTCGTTCTGTTCTGACTGTGTTTGGCAAGAACCGAATGAACACACCATTTGGCCTTGGTTCTCGTGTAGTTGGCACCCTCTTTGGATATAGACGTGGGCATGTACATTTTGCATTTCAAAAGGATCCCACTTCTCAGCCAGCTTTACTGATTGAGCTTGCAACTCCAATCAGTGGTTTGGTTCGTGAAATGGCATCTGGGTTGGTTAGAATTGCTTTGGAATGTAATAAGGAGAAAGAAGCACAGAAGAAAGGCGTGAGGTTGCTGGAAGAGCATCTGTGGAGGACATATTGCAATGGCAAGAAGTGTGGTTTTGCTACAAGAAGAGAGTGTGGGCCAAAGGAATGGGATATCCTCAAAGCAGTGGAACCAATTTCAATGGGTGCAGGTGTTTTGCCAGGAAATAATAATGGAGCTGAAGCAGGTTCAGAGGGTGAACTCATGTATATGAGGGCTAAGTTTGAGAGAATTGTTGGGTCTAGAGACTCTGAAGCTTTCTACATGATGAATCCTGATAGCAATGGTGCCCCCGAGCTCAGTGTTTATTTGCTTAGAGTCTAGCACCCTTGCAAGCTCTGTTTATGATGCTTAGTTCCCCCTTTTTCCTCTTTGTTCTTTGTAGATTTCGAGCAGTGAGTTATTGGTATACTACTTGCTTGGTTCTTCAATCATGAAAATGGAGATCTAATCTTCTCCATGTTTTTCAACTTTTTTATTTTTTATTTTTTTTTTTAAAATTTGCTTTTTCCTTCCTGGAGGTGTAAGATGTGGGTTTACTGTTTTTTTGTTGGAATAAGCTAGCAGCTGAAGTCAGAAAGGGGGGAAATAATGGGTAACCAATACTTTACAGCATTTTGGTGGAGACATGGGTCATGAAAGGTGTATATGTATAGTTTTACTTTCCAATCTTTTAATTAATGATGAGGGACGGAGGTTAATGCAAATCATGATTGTCTTCACATTATAATTTGGTTGATTAACTTTTAGTAATTTCATCATGCCCTCTTGTTCAATTCCAAATGGTGAATTTCTGCTTTCTTTTCACTTTACACCCCACTATTCCTTTTCGCCTTTATATGCTTTTATCGCTTGCTGATTCAATTAATTCCCTTTAATTGAAGTTCTGCTTCGGCTTATGAATATTTTTGAGTTAACGACTATTATTGGGGTTTAATATGCCTTTGAATGCGCTTAATTTGTGTTCTGATGATTTCTTTCCCTATTTAGTTCGGATGATACTGTATCGGCATCCGCATCCTCTTCCAGTCCAATCATTGCTTTTCATGCACAATTTTCTTTGTAAAAATTATCCCAATAAATTTTATCAAACACTAATCATAGAAGTCATCAAAAACATTATGTATATTATATTAAAGAAAATTCATATCCAGTTACCGACAGCAGACCCCATTCTTTTCCTCCCTTTTCCTTTGTTTATACATTGGCCATTAGCACTTCCTCTAGTTGACTGCTTTTCTTTTGTTTGTCTAATTCAAATATGTGACATTCACATCAGTTTATAACTCATAGTAGTTTGCGCTGCTTGAGTTGAAACTTGGACACTAGCCCCGTTCCCACCACTTCTAACATGAAAGATCCTTTTTATGTGGCTATTTTGGTCATAGCAGTGAACACCCTTTTCCATAACCCATCTCCTAGTTTTCAGGCTTTCAATTTTCTACTATTTCCTTGCAACTTGAGAGAACAGAATGAAGGCGAGGATATATGGCTTACAGCTAGGTCAAAATCAAGTTTTTAATATTTCGTTCACCAAAACCCAAGTTTTTTTTTTTTATCATCTAGTCATCACTCTTCTAAATAAAATCTAATTGCTGCCCATAAAGTTTAGCTATTGCTTTAAACCATCATAGCTCCAATTAGTGCACCAAAATCCCCTAACCCACCACTGAAAAAAGAGATATAAGAAGAGACTAGAAGAGTGAAATAAGGTTGTCCATAGGCCATTGCCCATTACAAAAGTTCAACTTAATACTTCTTTTGGGGTCTATTTGGTCTTGCTGCTTACTTGCAAACAGCTATTAGCTTCGTGGATAACTAATTGATTTCAACAAAGACCAATAAAAGTATGTGTGACCACCCTGGTGGGCTGCTTCTCATGATGAATCATGTTATAATTGATGATGCATATCAGCTTGTTGCATGATTTAGGACAGTTAGTGTATATTTTCATCATAAGAAGGCTACCCCATGCGAGGACTCCAAGGAACCACCACTCGTCCTGGGATAGGTGCTGTTTCGGGGCCCACTTGAATGGCCCGGATATGATAGTTGATGTCATTAAAATTTTCCAACTTTGGATGAAATGAAAGCTCAGAAAATTTCAGAGAAGGCCTTGGCAATCTTGGCTAGGCCCATGGAATATATAGCTTGGACTAGTTTGTTTTACTATTTTTCACAGCTTAGGAGGCCCAATTGATGAACACGTTTGTTTTATATGCGTTGTCTTCTTTTGTTAACTGTAATTTTCTTAAGAAGAAAAACATTCCAAAAGTTCCAAGTAATACAATCATCCTCAAATCTTCACTCACAAATACAGTATAACGTACATAATCTAATCTGATACATAAAATCAGCTCGCAGAGAACTTTCAAGAAAACTCTTTTGCTTTCTTATAGATTCCCGTTGGGTCAGTTACAAGGGAAATCCCTATGATACGATGGTGGCTCAAGAAATAGAGGCCGGAGATTTAACAAAAGAAGTAGAGTAGAATAGGCAATCTGAGTTAAGCATTGCTGAAAGAAAGGCCACACAAGCAAGAAGAAAAAACCAAGCAGGTTCAGGGAAGACATGTAAAAGAGCTATGAAATGGGACACATGACAATTAATTAGGAAGGTTAAGGGATGATGTGTAAAATGAACCATGAAATGGGAAACGTGACAGTCAAGTATGAATTGGTCACAATGTAATAAAAACAAATAGGGAACTATTTTTTCCCACAATTGTATCTTTTGATTGGTTGAATAAAAAAATTCTTTCTTCCCAACTCTACTCTGTTCTCATCCCTTTTCCCCCAATTTTTCATAGGTAGAACTGAGCTCTACCAATTTGGTGTTTTCATCCTTGAATAATGGCACCTGAAACGCGAACAAGATCTGTAGAGGATCGAATGGATCATCCACAAGCTGAGATAGAAGTTTTGAAGGAGCAAATGCATAAACAATTCCAAGAATTGACATAAAAATTGGATGCGATATTCGACAACTATCGGGAGCGTCAACCATCCCCAGCGCATCAGCAAACCAACATTCATCAAATTCTAGAGATCATACGGTAGCAAAAAACTTGCGCCTCAAAGTTTCTCGTTTTGATGGGTTGAGCGACCCACAAGGTTGGATTTTTAAAATCAACCAATTCTTTGATTTCTATGATATGGAGGAAGGCCAAAGATTGAAGGTTGCCCCTTTTTACTTCGATGGGGAAGCTTTAGCTTGGTATCAATGGTTTAACAAAAATTCTAAAATTGATTCTTGGCCACACTTTCTTGACGCCTTGCAAGTTTGATTTGGCCCGTCAAAAATGGAGGATTATGAAGGCAAGTTAGCGAAGCTGTTGCAAACAGGGACAGTGATGGAGTATCAAGAGGTATTCGAAACTTTTTCCAATTGGGTAGATGGCTTATCTGAATCCTTCCTTTTGAGCTGTTTCATTTCTGGTTTAAAACCTAAAATTCAGCATGAGGTCTTAGCCTTTGCACCTTCAACTTTAACTCGTGCTATGGCATTAGCCAAGATTCAAGAGTCAAAATTGGCCCTGAAGAACAACCCACCTAAACTACACTCACCCTACCCTCCATTGTTACACACTCCACAACCAAAAACAAACCCAACTACAATCTCAACTAAAATCACCACTGCAAATACCACTTCAAACCAAAACAGACCCAATACCCAACGCCTTACCAGAGCCAAATTCAAGAACGTAGAGAGAAGAGCCTATGCTTTTCTTGTGGTGACAAATATTTTTCTGGTCACAAGTGAAAGACATCTGTGCATGTATTAATTGTGTCGCATGATGAAAAATTAGAAGAAGATACTATATTGGAGGATAATGGAACAATTTCAGTAGCAGAACCAGACACCACTAGTGGTGAAACAACAGCTCCTTAAATAAGTTTTCATGCTTTGGTTGGTATGGTCGTACCTCAAACTGTGCGATTTAAATGTTATATTGGCAAATCAGAATTCTCCTTGTTGGTGGATTGAGGGGGCACTCACGATTTTCTTCAACCGAAGGTTGCATCCATCCTCGAATTGCTAATCACCACTGATCAAAATTTTGAAGTTATGGTTGGAAATGGACAACTCCTTTAATGTGAAGGCTTTTGTCCCGCAGTATCGGTCCAAATTCAGCATCATGTTTTTTTAGTAGACTTTTATGTGCTGCCCATTCAAGGAGCTGGCATGGTTTTTGGTGTTCAGTGGCTGCAAATTTTTGGATAAGTTACTTTGAACTATAGCAGGCTAACAGTGGAATTTTTGTGGAAAGGTGAAACTATCAAGCTCAAAGGGGAGTCACATACAGGCCCTATTTTCTTGAATCAATTTAGACGTATTCAGCAGAAAGGTCAAGTAACATCATTATTTCAGTTATCATTGATCAACCCTACTAATGTGGCAACACCAACATCAACACAACCTCAGGTACAACAACTTCTAGCAGAATTTGATTACTTATTCCAAGAACCCACTGATTTACCACCCCACCGCCAAATTGATCATGAAATACATCTTCAGCCAAATGTTGTTCCTGCTAATGTAAAACCATATAGATATCCCCATTTCCAAAAAGGAGAAATTAAGAAACAAGTGGCTCAAATGCTTGCTTCTGGTTTTATTAGGAATAATACTAGTCCATTTTCATCTCTTGTATTGTTGGTTAAAAAAAAGATGGTACTTGGAGATTTTGTATTGATTATAGAGCCTTAAATAATAGCATTACAATCAGAGATAGGTTTCCAATCCCTACTGCAGATGAATTGATTGATGAGTTAGGAGGGTCACAAGTGTTTTCTAAACTAGACTTGAGGGTGGCTACCATCAAATTCTCCTTAAACCTGAAGATAGTCATAAAACAACCTTTAGAACTCACCAAGGCCGTTATGAATTTTTGGTCATGCCTTTTGATTGACCAATGCCCCTTCCACATTCCAAGCGATAATGAATCTTATTTTACAGCCTTACTTACGCAAGTTTGTTGCAGTTTTTTTATGACATACTTATATATAGCCCCTCTATGGAGTTGCACATACAGCACTTAAGGCAGGTCCTCTACACTTTACAAACTCACCAATTCTTCATTAAGAAAAGCAAATGTTCCTTTCACAAAGAGAGGTTGAATACCTCAGACATGTTCTTTCCAACCTTGGTGTGAGTATGGATCATAATAAAGTCACAGCCATGTTGGATTGGCCTGCTCCCAAAACATCAAGCAGCTAAGGGGATTTCTTGGACTTACAGGTTATTACCGCATGTTTGTACAAGGCTATGCTTCCATAGCAGCTCCTCTAACTAAACTACTTAAAAAAGATGCTTATATGTGGTCTGATTAAGCTCAAGTAACATTCGACGCTCTCAAGGAGGCCATGACAAGAGCCCCAATGTTGGCACTGCCAAATTTTGAATCAAGACTTCATAACTGAGACAGATGCCTTAGACCTTGGTATTGGAGTTGTTCTCCTTCAAGACGATCATCCTCTTGCTTATTTTAGCAAGAAACTATCTCTAAGAATGCAAAGGGCAGCAACCTATGTCAGGGAGCTTTATGCCATAACTGAAGCTGTAAAGAAGTGGAGGCAATATTTGTTGGGGAGAAGGTTCTTAATTCAAACAGACCAGAAAATTTTAAAAGCTTTGTTGGATCAGGTCATTCAAACACCTGAGCAGCAATAGGTTTCCAATACTCAATTGTCTATA